AGGTTCTACTCCCAGTTTTATCTCTACCTGGCTTTAGTTCTCTGGATTTTAAGTCCTTCATGTTAGGATGAAATTAGATGTGATTGGTAAGGAAGGTAATAATATAAAATAATAGTGAATAGCTCAAATTTTAGATACAGATCTAATTTGCAATAAATAGCTATATGATCATGGATGAATTATGTAAGACTCAGTTTCCTTTTCTTTAAAATGGAGATAACAGAATTTACATCATAAGTAAGATATAAGTGAGGATTTACTGAAATAATACTTAAATTGTAAAGTGCTTAGCCTTAATATCTGGAATACTCAATTGTTAGCTATTATAGATTACTAATAAATAGATTCACAAAGCTCCATTCTAGTAATCAGGGTACATTCAATGGAAATAACAGTGAAGGGTACATTCAATGGAAATAACAGTGATACAAACAGATCAAGTGAATTAAAAAAAAAAAGTTCAAAAGCCTTTTAAATGTTCATGATTCACTAGGACTTCAGTTTGGTGAAGGAAAAAGCTGGGTCTTCTTCATATACCTTTATAACTCAAGCATCTAAACTGTGTCTGTCAAAAACAGGTAAAAAAAAATCTGTTTAATGTATCGAGTTTTTCTAAAATTACTAAAAATTAATAGCTAAAATTTAGAAATAAAACTATAGAAATTTTAAGCATTTTCCAACTAATGAAAAAAATTATATTTTGAAGAACACAATGTAAAAGTTTCAAAGTTGTATATCTAAAAGCCAGTCAATAGAGTAATGGCATTCATTACACAGTATTTCGGTTATTTTCTTCTGACATAAGAGAACTAGTAAAGTTTAAGTCCATTTAGTTCCAGAATTTATGAGCTATTTCATAAATCAGGAATGTATGTAGAAAATTATTTAATTTACCTACCATTTCATACCCAAATAAGGACCAATGTCTTGAAGAAGTCTTAATAAAGAAAATTATTATATATAAATAGGAAAAAAAGCTATAGAAATATGACAATCTATGGTCTGAGAAAATTAGATTTGAAGGACAATGACAAAAAATGTTGTTTCGGTTACACATTAAAAAATTCAATACGGCAACTAAAAGAGCTGTCATTAACTGTAAAACATTATAAAAAATTAAACTATATAAAGGAAACAAATATAATCTAAACATCTAAAGATAACCATTGTTAACATTTTTGTGGTACTGACATTATTGTGTAATGACAGCACTAGTGGTTTATTCAAACACTTACTATGTGCCAGACGCTTTCCTATAGAAATAAATTAAATAACCCTCAAGAAAGCTTATTATCAACTAGAGGAGACATATGTAAAAAAAACTGCACTATATCATTAACAAGTACCACAACAGAGCTGTTGCAAGATTCGCTGGAAGGACAAGTGAAGAATGCATTTAACTTTTACACCTAACAAGATCATGTGAATTCTCAAAACAACATATAAATATATTAAATTGTATATATTTATTCATCCAAAATTTTAACATAAAAATTTGAAGTTAAAATTGATTCTACTAAATGTTAATGATGTCTCTAAGTAGTAAAAGTCTAAAAATAAAGATATTTCTTAACAGACCTTTTTGTCTTTCACTTACCATAAGCTGTTCCTGGGCCAAATTCAGTCCCTGCATCAATCATATATTGCCCCAAAAGTTCTGGGTTATTTATACGACTTGGAGCTTTTCTATCCAGTTTCTCATAAACAAATTCTTCTATCCTGGCATCTAGGAGAAAGGTTTCAAAAGAGCAAAACTATTTAAAAGGCTGTTTTGTTCTACTACTAGCCATTTATCACCCTGTAAAATAAACATGAAACATGAAATTAGCATGCTTTCAAGTACATATCTTAATATATAATTTTTAATTTATATATTAGGGTATTATATAGCTCTAAGAAACTTACATTGTAGAAATACAATAAAATGTTTTGGAACAAAAATATTTTAAAATAAAGTAAAACTATTATATGAGTATTTCATGGGATTTTATGTTCCAAACAAGGTTTGGTATTTATTTTTTAATGAAGTTGTTTTTTGCCCTATTCACCTAGTATCTAACTTTCAACTCTGAATATCTGTTCATAATTTAAAAATCAGGAATTTACAGCTATAAAAATATGGATATAAGGTACCCAGAAGAACCAAAGAGTGCCATACTCTGACACCTCTTCCCCACTTTTGCTTGCTTGCAAGCTCTCTCCTCCTAGAGTTTAAATATAGGCACAGGAGTTTATAAAGAATAAGGCAATCCAGGCTTGGAATAGTCTATAGACAGAGATCAACAATATGATGCCTTGGCTTAATTTTATTTATGTTTAAATATCTCTGAGGATGTATTTACTCAAAAGAGTTTATTGTTAAAAATAGCTTTCAAATACAAGACAAATGGTTAAAGCAATGATAGGAAATCAGTATAAAGGAGGAAAAAAAGGGGAAAAAATGAGTAAAATATGAATAAACACTTCTTAACATAATATTTAAGAAAGTCACATTTACACTGCTGCCTAATAGTGAGGTAGTTCAGGGACAAATGAGAAAAACGTCTGTTTCCAGAAACAATGATTAAATATATATTAAAATTAAAATCCAAAAAGCAGCTTAGTTAAATAGGTTCCTTCTAAGTACTTAATTCTAAGCACATAATTCCTCTACAAGTAGAAGTTTCACATAGTGCACTGAAAATTTCAAAAATGAGCTGAACTAGTAACAAAAACACTTCAAGAGTTGGCAAGTGTTTATTATAATACATAAACTAGGCAGTTGGACTACTCGCTTTTCTAGTAGTCTCTGATGCAGTGTCAGAAGTTTCGAAGCATGAATTTAAAAACTATCAAATTAGCTGAAACCAAAATGAGTCAGTTCAAAACATAATCATTTAGAAGATGTTACCTAAATTTCAGAATTTCATTTACTGACTGTGAGAGTGATTCTTAGAAAGCTTTGCTGTTTTCTATTTAGTTAAGTTTAGAGTTGAATGCCATGTTGATTTTGTTCAGTTAACAAAACATTTGGTATATTTTAAATGTTTCATTTCCATAAGTCATAATAAAACCTTAAGTATGTAGGCAAGTCTGCTATAATTCAATATACATTTCTGCAAAAACTTAGGTTCTGAAAAATCATACAGTAAAAATAACAGGGCTTACAAGAAGAGTTGGGTTTGATCACTCAAAATCTATGTAACTTTATAACTGGAGCACAAACAAAACCCAAAAATAATTCTGTTACTACTTCAGACTTAAATAACTAATGTAAAATTGTATTATATGAGCCATCATAATTCTTTATAGTGACACCATTCCTGTTCATCAGTTGTGTATGAGCTTATCTGCTATTCAGAAGAACATGTTGTAGAACAGACTATAAATGCGAGGAACTCTGGATAGAGCAAGGAACAAGAGTAAAATGTCTACTACTTTTTCTTTAAGGTGCCATGGTATATAATGTAAGGAGCCTTAAATGAATAAGAGGTACCACATGGTTTCCACAGATAATAGGCCTCAAAGTGTAAAGGCCTATTTTAAAAAGTCACCACAATTTAACTAAAATAGCACAGAATTACTAATATTTTTAAATATTTGCAAGGTTGAGTTGAGTGATCTGAAAACCTTAGAGTTGTGTGAAATCAAATGAAAATGATTTATATAAAAATGTAAAGCTTAACATAAACATAAATAATTGGTAACTAATTAACTTTCTATATAATTTCCCCTTAATTACTTAGGGATAATTCTCCCTGTATGAAAAAAGATTAACTTATTTTCACATCCCTCTTAAAATTCAAAGTCACTGAATTTGAGTGCCTGAAATTGAGTTTTCAAGAGGATTCTACAAAGGCCTGAAAAACATTATTTGTCAATTTATTAGAGGGTACACAAAGAAGTGTTTATCACTCACTTCTTCACCAAAAGCACACAAAAATAACCATAAACTTCAAAGCTGCAAACCAAAAAATTCTGATTTCCAAAAGCCAGTAAAACTTTGTTTTTCACATTAAAAAACCTACCAACAGTACCTTTTAATAAGATTAGTCATTAAGGTAGACAAAAGTAAAAAGTTTCTTACTTGGGTTCGGCTGCAATAATACTTCAGTTTGTTTCATTATTTTTTCTGTCCATATTTTGGTACATTCAGCTTTACTAAGGAGGTTCTCTAAGTGAGCATCCAATTCTGTCTTCTCTGCCTGGCCAAGCTTTTCTTCTGTGAACTGTTATTGATTATTAAAAAAAAAAAAAAAATTAAATATACCTCAAATACATTTTAGGAACTTATATCAAAAATAAAAAGAAAATTCAAATCCAAATAATCTCAAACATACAAAAAAATTATTTATAAACCACTGCATATGAATGTTACTTTATTTTTTCTTCTATGGTAATTTATCTATACCCCTGTGGCACTTATTATGACCCTTATAGTTAACACATATCTTAGTTTTGCTAAAATGTATGGTGTGAACTTTATAGAAAATCTAGCATATAGCCTGGTATATAAAGCATATAAATATTTCTTACTTATAAAGGTAGTTTAGTATAGTGGTAAGGAGTAAGAGCTTTGAGTCAGTTGAATTTGAATTCATATCCTGGCTGCAATGCTGTGTAACCTGAACAAACTTTTATATATTTCTTAGGCATCCTCTATCATAAAAGAGAGACAATACTATCTTGTAGTGCTTTGAGAATTAAGTAAGAGTATGTATATAAATCACTTTGTTCAGTGCCTGGTAACTATTATTTTGAATTTAAAAAGGGCTGTTTATGTTTAATGTGGCTTTGTATTATTGGCATTTTAATCACACCTAGTTAGATAGGCTTTTATGGGATGTTCAGGAAAACTATCATTTAAGTTGTTTCTTCAGGATATATATGTTCCAGCAACTGATTTACAGACTAACTTTTGGAATATATACTATTCGTACTAGGAAGGCATCTTTTAAAGATTATAAAATAAAGTTAAATACTCAATGTATCAATTTTATTATCTTGAGTGGCTTTTGAGAAAAGGCGGATAACAGAGAAGCAAAAAGATTTCCATGTAGATTTTGTGGATACTTCTGGATACTTTTAACTAAAAGTGATGATGACACAGGCTGCTTTATCATGCATAATTATTTTCTAGCATTTGTGGCTTTCCCCCATTTTAAGAGGTATGTCATTGGCACTAATTCTATGCTCTTTAGTTGTGACTTATTTCTGGCTAATAATATGTTCATCTTGCTTTTTCTCTTTCTTTCTCTCATTTCTTAAAATATCTTTTGTTGCTCTATTTTTCTGAGTTTTATTATGTTTCTTCCGGCATCCTTCTTCTTGGTCTAATACTTTCAATTGATTGTCAGCACTTTTAGCTAAAAGGTCCTCTAGAATGTTATTCTTAGACCTCTGGTTACAACCCCCCACCAAAGGTCTCGTTCAGGGGCTAGAAATAACAGTTTCAACAGCTTTTATAAAGTCTTAGGTCTTTTTGAGACTGCCCTGCAGCCAAGACCAGACCCAATGGGTGGGTCTGAAAAAAGCAGTTCCAAAACTATTGCCTAGGTCTGTAAACTTCCACTGTACTGCAACTGAGGATAGGTGAAGTACTGGGCAAAAGATCAAAACCCTTGTCTCAAGGTCAGCTGGGTAACTCTGCAATCTCATTCTTAAAAAAGAACTCTGGTCTTCTTTACAGGTCCCTGAGATGCTAAGCAATAGACTTCCTTTAGAGGTATAGAAGTTTCTATGTTTGACGTCTACTACTTCCAATGGTTAAACAGATTATCTCTCAGATAAAGCAACCGATCGGAGGGGAAAAAAAAAAGGAAAACATACACCCAGGTGAACATCACCTATAAAGGATGACCTACCAATAGAGCAAAATTCTTCACTTAGCACCTTAATAAGTATATGTTTGTTCACTCCATTCATCCTTCACAAATATTCAACATCCATAATGTGCTAGGCACTATTCTAAACACGTGAGTTTCAGCAACGAAAAAAACGAAAAAACAGACAACCTTGTCTGTAAGCTGCTCTTAGGAAGCTTACATTTTTAATGGGGGCAGATGATAAACAAGTAAATAATTTAATAAGGATACAAAGATAAAAAAAATGGTGGAGAGAGGACGAACACAGATGGTCCTAGTTTCTTGACTGAGTTATTTAATGATTAACTGAGTGAATTAATGAATTCAAGTATAGAGGAAGAAAGAATTCACTCTGCAGAGGGAGAGGGGAGCAGGAGAATCAGGGAAAGCTTCAAAGTGGGAGGCCTGAAAGAGGGAGCAGGAGTTTGATGATTGAGACTTGAGTGGTTAGAAAATAGCACCTCTGAGCAGGTAACAACTAACCTAAGACCAAATGATAAGAAATGAGTTATGTAAAGAATCAAGGGAAAAGTATAGAGTCCTCTGATGACTTATCTTCTGGTTATATTTCTAGAGGATCATTAGTATCACCTTTTCACATATTAAATATTTTTTGGTAGAAGTCCTTAATTTTATTTAATAACCAAGAACAGATAATTCAATAATCAACAGATTTATAATTTAAAAATCATTATTCATTAGGTCAGTCTTTGTGAAAGTACTCTGCTAAGACCCAGAAGATATGGTTTCTGTTATAGGAAAGCTAAATGAAAAAGCTAAATGAAACAATATAAACTTGCAGGCTTATTTTTTTCAGTACATAAAATTATGTTTTAGAAATACACTGGAATTAAATGTATGGGCTAGAAATTACTAAACAATATTTATAAATAGTGATTAAAGAAATAATCTCTTAGTTTATCTGATACAAGCAAGTTAGGTTTCAGGGTAAGTTTTCTCTTAATAGTATTTCAGAGAACCAACAACTAGAAAGTTCATTATTTGGAAAATAAAACATTTTAATCTTTAGGTCAAAAGGCTTGTTTGCTTAATTATTTAACGTCATTTTCTTTGTGATTCTCAGGACACTACCTTACACGTATTGCTCATTAAACACCTTTTTTTAGTTTTTTAGTGAAAAAAGACAAAGCGAGTGTAAAAGTATAATAGAGCAAACACGAGTATTTGCAACAAGTCATTTATGTGTATGAGTCTAAGCAAGAAACAAAATATGTAAATTGACTTATAAAGTAAAATTCTATAAACATAATAGGTTTTTTTTTACTACAGTAGTTCAGAAGGCTAAAAAACAAATAATAATGTAAGGAATGCTTAAGTATGAGTGGGATAAAGAGTCTGATTAATTATAGAAAATCTGTTTAAAAAACAGTAGTTCTATAGAAAGGCCCACATAAACAATGTATTTAAGTATCAGTAATAAATTCTATTTGATGTTTATTTGCATTTTCTGAGAGCAAAAAAGTTGTGTTTTTTTTTTTTTACTCTACATCTGTGCTTCACATTTCAGTACATTATATATAGTCATTTTATCCTCTAATATGTTTTTTTAATGTTTTCTTTTCTCAGTAAGATCTTTTCTCAGTAAGATCTTTTACAATATATTTCTGTATTCTTAACAACATCAGGGCTTAGCATATATTAAAAAATGCCATATATTAAGCTGTATATTTTATATCGAACACTAAAAATATTGTTATAGGTAAGAATCATAATTTTAGTGATGAAGAAGTTGAAGCTCAGAATGGTTAAACATTTTCCTCAAGGTGTTAGTATTGAGATTCAATCTATTTGAATCACAGTCTTATTACACTACCCTTCCAGTAAATACTTGATTTTAAACAAATATTTTCTATCGCCATTATCCAAACGTATTCTATGCTGCCTTGCCCCCGCGTCTTTGTTCACAGGACTCTGATCAGTTGCAGCCTACAGTCCACCTCTGCTTCCTACATGATAGTCAATAATCATCAAGTTAAGGCTAACTTTAATCCTGTAGGATGAACAACAACAAAAAAGTGTGAGGGGAGACATAAGAATACTGCTAATGTTATACATTTAAGTTGAAATTTAAAATTTAAATTTTATTACTTAAATGTATAATTGTAAAAGGCATAATATTTCCCATGATTTTATCATTATGGGGTCTCTTAAAAATTGTTTTCCATTGTTAATCAGAAGGTAAGACATATAAACAAAATAGTACAATATTAAATACACACATTTTTCTTTAAAACGTTTTTAAGAATGCATATACTGCACAAAATGAGTTATATCAAGTCAATTAAGGAAGTTTAAATCATTAATAAAAATATTTATGGAGAATACTGTATGTATTTTCTTCTACTGTGATATGTATGATCAGCATATGACTTGCCTTCAAGGTTTTTATGATCTTAACGGTACCGCCTACACACAAATATAAAATTATAGTAGCAGTACTCTTTTTAGAAGGACAAAAGACCTATTCTTTTTCAAAAAGATCCCATTCCTAATTACCAAAAATTTTGAATTTTACCCTTAAGAATTTTAGTTTTCAACATTTTTAAGTCCAAAATCATTATTTTGTAGTCTCTTGATAATAGCTGTTAATTAGACACTACAGTTAATTTTAAGCATGTATTCTAATGTATAGCAGTACCATTTAATAATTAAAAACATTTGTGAAAACCCATATTGAAAGTCAGCATGCAAGTAAGTCATTAAAACCCAGTGTTCTTTAAAATGTAATTTGATGTACAATTCTTTCATAATATTTCATTAGTAATACAGTAAAATCACATGAGAACAGAAAGTTTAATCCCCTTTATAAATTTTCTCTAAGGAAATTTTCTCTTAAGGAAAAAATTGTCTTTGAGTCAGCCATATTATGCCAGGCACTGTAATCCTTCCTTTACTACAGGACAGGAATGTAGCCTACAGTATGAAATAAGGAGCCTAGATTCCATATCCTGCTTTACTAGAAAGAAAAAAAGGACTACAAGTAAAAAGGTTGTGTGATTAAAGACATTTATTTAATATAAACTTTGTCAATTCTTTGGGTAAGTAATATTTAAAAAGCAACATAAACTTCTTGGGAGAAAATGCATAACAAATTCTGAATATAATGTACTAATAAACTGTAAAGTAGATCCTTCTTAATTGGTTCTCAATTTTAGCTGCTCTTAAGAATTAGTTGGGGAGCTTTCAAAAACAATGATGCCAAATCCAACTCCAAGGATTCTAATTTAACTGGACTAGGCTGTATCCTGTAGAGAGTCTTCAGATAATTTTAAATGCAGCTAATACCAAGAACCACTGTCCTAAGCTCATATATAATTGTTTTAATATTAGGTTAACAAATGTCTTCTATCTAGTCGTCTACTAAATCAACACCAGTAGCACCAAAGGATGAGAACAGTTTTGGATAACACTAGTTTTTGCATAATGATAAAATGTATGGACTTTGAATGTGACATGTTTTGTTAGAATTTGACAGACATGGCGAAGTGATTTGCAGTCTAAATTCTATCAAGGAAATGGGATTTCAAAAGGGCTTGAGAGATACTATTTGGCCGAGTTGGAATTCCATCCATGTAGTATCTGACAAGAGCTTGTTGAGGGCATCATCATAGTCATCTTTACATCTCCAGCTTAGATACACCATGAACGCTTGCTAAATTAAACGGGAGATCAAGGCCAACCTTGCAACTAAATTTTAAAAGACTTTTTCTTTCTCAGAAAATAGCTAGCAGTCATGAAGTTCACAGCACTACGGCACACAAATTTTCGAAGGGTGAGAGTAATGAGACCCATTTATATGCTTTAATAGTTTGATTTTACTTTTTTTAAAACAGGGAACATGTTTAATTTTTAACTTAAAAATGTTTAAATAAAATGAAAAAAATGTATGACAGTTGGTCAATCAGAGAATGGCCTATCCCTTAAGGTATAATTTGATTTGAATAGAAATTATTATTTAGAAATGTGAATACTGAATTCCATTCTCACTGTTCTTATTACTTATAATGAGTAACTGGCATAGCTCTTAACGCTATTCTTAGCATGAAACCTGGCACTTTGGCAATATACTGATGTCAACTCAATTTAGAGTAGGAACTCAGTTGTCTAAACACTGAAAAGAAAAAGCAGTGTTTTGTTTAAAATTACTACTGAGCATTCCAAATTTCATGTTACATTTGGAACCATCTTTTTTTCTAATATAGTTTATTTAAAAAAATGTATTGTGAAAATGTCAAACACATACAAAAGTAAAATAGTATAATGAAGCCTCATGAACACATAACCAAGCTTCGCCTAGCAACGTTCTGCCAATGTTGTTTCAAATACTCCTTTTTTTCTTCTGAAATATATTAAAGCACTTCTCAGATATGAATATAGTTTATACATCAATATTTCAGAACATATCTCTAACATATACAGACTTAATATAAAAAGATATAATAAAGGAGCCTATTCCTCCTGAATTTTTAATCTTCTTAGTAAATGGCTCAAGTAAACATCTTTCTTAGACCCCAGAGCCAATCTAACAAGCAGTACTGGACAGATTCTGAAGTTCTCCTGCTATTACTCTTATTAAGTCATATTTTGCCTGTCCTATGGCCACAGCTCTCTAACTTGTCTCCCTAGTACCCCTGCAACCTCAGAGTCTTTGCACTTGTTCCCTCTGCCTAAAATCCTTTTTCTCTAAAAAACTGGGAACTGTGACTTTCTTGAGGTCTCTTCGAATATGATCCCATTAGAAAGGCTTGTCTTGACCAACAACAGGGCAACAACTGCCACCTCTGCCATTAACCTGTCCTCTCTGGCCTTTTTCTTTACCCCCACCTCAAGTATTTATAGTTTGTCCTTTCCTGATAGACTGTAAGCTCTGGGAGGGCAGATGTTTTGTTGATTTTATTCACTACTGTATCACCAGTGTCCAAAATAGTAGTGACAGGTACACATGGAGTAGGTACTTAAGTTTTTAAGACTGAAAATTATTTGTAAGCTAACAGATTAGGATAGAATTTAAAAACTTTTACCTAAAGAATGTGAAACAATGAGTAATTATAAATTATTTGTGAAGCAGCACATTTTGAGAACTTTGCCAGATTTTTAAAATTGAGTCTACTGACAACTTAAATCAAATTCTAATATATGTCCTATTTAAACAGTTGGATTATATATTTGGAAACGTACCTAACTGCATTTAAAGGAGTGGCATTATATAGTGTCAAATCTGCATCAGCATCAGCATCTGAAATCTTAGGGAATCACCATTAAAACAATACCAAAGTCTCTGCCTCTTATGCAGTCAACACTGAGTCTCACAAATCAAAATTCATTTCAGACTCTCACTCATTCTTGCACCTAGTCTTTGAACTAGTAGAAGGAGGCTAATTTAAATCAAGAAATTATTTTAACGATAAGGTTCAATGTCTTTACAATATACCTTATAGTGGAGGCATAAATATATTTTAGTGCAGGAGAAGAATTCACCATGCAGATTTTGGAACTTGGAAATCAATACCTACAAGGAATTTCCCATCTCATAATTCTTACTTGCTTAAGTATTAATGAAATGCTTAGATTGTACTAGATCATCTTTAAGGTCTCTTAAGCTGTAATATTCCATTATTCTATATCTCCTAAACCTGCAATTTTTATCCAGGAAAAGAGAAAGAGCTTACAATAAGTAATAGATCGGACAATACCTGGCTATTTACTAGCCATTTGAGCTAAGCAAGTTACCTAATTTCCCTGAGGCTGCTTCCTCATGTATAAAAGGGAGCTAATAGTATCTACCTGGCAAAGTTACAGAAAGGACTGGAGATGATTCGTCAAATAGCTAGCAAAATGTTTGACATAGTTTTTTCACAATTAAGGCAGCTGTTACCTTGTTCTGGTTCTACCATTCTTTTGCCAAGAATAGTGCAATGTAAGATCAACTATGCCAATAAAACTGGGGTAAAGGAGACAAGGAGAGCAGTGAAGCAATACAACTGTTTTACATTTCAGTATCGGTTTGTCATGCATATTAGAAATCGTTGTTTTCTCCTTACAAAAGAGATTGTTGTTGCTACTGTGACTATGTCATTAACTTAAACACCAGATTGTTTACAACTCATGTTGTGAAATTTACATCTGTTCATAGATTTAACTGAACTGACATAATGTGGGTGATGACTGTAGAAACTGTCCAAGTTCCCCAGTACTGATACTTCCTTGATAGGGGAATACCGCGAGATGGTTAACTTTTCCCCTTTAAAGTGTATTTTGAAGCCTTCCGCTGCGACTATAGGCATATGAATCTCTCCCCTCTCTCCTTGCTCTACCGCCGATGCTTATCATTTTGAGAATGAGAACTCTCAAACTCCATGTTTCCCGTGGCCCTGGCAAAGTCTGGACGCCAAGTGGCGATCTCCATTTCTTCCGCGGACTGCCAAGGCCAGGGACTGTCCTTTCATGGAGAGAGAGGGCTGGAGGGAACTGTGTTGGCAGCTGTTTGGGTTGAGGAGCAGGAAAAGGAAACTTCCTTCTTAGAATCAATGGGGAGGGCGAGAGAGAGGAAAGGAAGAGGTGGGGGTGGTGCAAGAATAAACAGTCTGTGTCTCTGCTACCGCGCCGGGACGCGCAAGGCCTCCTCCCGCCCCGGGAGGTCACACCAGCACTCGCGTGGTGGGGTCAGAAAGGCAGGAGGTGCTATGCGTCGGCTCGAGGCCGAATTCAAGGTGTCTTCCAGGGGCGGGAGGAAACTCCCAGTCGCGTCCCCACCACGCCTCACTTCCCGGGGAGCGGTGGTTGGGCTGGAGGGGTTCAGAAAACGACAGCCAGGCCCGGAGGGGCACCAGGCCGCGCCCATCACCCGGGCCTCCGGCCGCAGCAGGCCTGCCGTGCGGTCGGCGAGACTGGGTGCGGAGAGCGCTGCCTCGGGCTGGGCGCTCCGGCGTCCCCTCCTTGGCCCCGGGCACCGCCAACCCTCCCCCCGAACCCCCAAAGTGGTACCTGCACAGCACGACTCAAGAAGGTGCCCGCGTCCGCCGCCAACTTCTTCACGTTGAAATCCATGATGTTCATCCTGGGCGGCAGCCGGGCGGAGCTGCCCGCTGACCTAGCTGGGAGGCGGAGGCGCCGCGGTCGGGCTGGGGCGCCGGGCGGGAGTGGCGGGGACAGACGTGGTAGGTGGAGGGAGGCGGCGCCAGCCCTGCCGCCGCAGCTGTCGTTTCCGTCAAGGGGGAGAGAGAGGGTGGGGCGAAGGGAGAGAACGAGCGCCTCCGAGCGGCAGCAGTTGAGACGCAAGGCCTATCTCGTCTGGGGTGCGGCCGCTAACGTTGGCGCTGGGCGCGGTGGGCGAGCCGGAGACGAACCGACCCGCGTTCTGGCCGTGCGGGGAAGGGCCCCCAACGGAGGAAGCGAGCGCCGGCCGCGGGGCGGAGCCTTTATAAAGGTTATCGCGGGAACAGCGACCCCTTCAGGATCGTCGCGGCGCAGCCGCGGGACGCGCTGGGAGCTTGGCCCGCTCCGCCCAAGGGTGCGTCGCGTTCTCTGTGAGGGGCGCGCCGCGGGGCCGCAGAGGTGCCGCACGTTTGTAGTTAAGTCTCTGAGGAGAGAACTCAAAATCCTCTTTTTGTCGTAAGAGAAAATACGAAAATTGTAGCATAGAATTACAATGTCTGTGAAGTTGGAAACAACAGGGCCCAGTCATCTTGTAGCACTCGTACCAGGCAGGTCTCAGACGCCTGGATGGAACTCGGCGGCGAACGTTTTCAGAATAGGGTTTTATTTATTGACTCCACCGAGCCTGTTCATTCAGCGTTATTGAGTATCTACTATGTACCAGAACTGAATCAGGTGTCCCGCCCTCAAGAAGCTCTCAGTTCCTTTACTCGACATCGTTCAGGAACTTCTCCACCCCCAGTAGAAATTCCGTAACTGTTTGCTGCCGCAGGACTTCGTGACTGCATTATGGCAGCATGCTCATGCTGGATTACAGAATCAACCCCAGGTATCTACTGTATGCAAAGTATGGTGCCTGGGACACAAAGTGCCAGGTGGAGGACATGAAGTATAAAATGGTGAGTGAGAATAACACTTAAAGATTACGAGTGGAGAATTTTAATAATAAATGAGGATATGCTGTGAAATCTGTTCAAAAACCTATAATTACAAATAACTTCTTAAGCAGTCTTCATGATACAGCCCATACTTGGACTAAATTAAAACAAGTACAAGCATGGAAAGAGACATTAGTATTTCAAGAATAAGAAAACACTATTTTTTTGTGTCGCTGTGCCCTTTTGTTATATTAGGGCTGGGAAAATGCAGGCCCAGCAGGCGATGAAATGAGTTCACATTCAGGCTTCAATGTTTTACTGAAACAGCGTCACAGAAGCAATGCCTTTGTTAAAGGCTGGGAAGACGAATCCCTAAGGGCATTACAAGAAACAAGCAGATAACAAACATTTGTGTTTTTTTAATCCTTCGTGGTGGTGACAGAAACAACCACTTCTTCTAAGATAATTCCGATAGAATGAATCTCCCAGACCAAAAATACTCCATGTATCTAGTTCATCTAAACCTATTTTTCCAGAAATATGGGAAAAGAGATATATAATTAGTAATCTTATTTTTCATTTATGTCCATTTTAGATTTTTATGTGGAAAAGCACTTTCTCTTTGCTGATGTCTATTTTCACAATAAGTGTGTTTGCCATAATCTATGTCCATTTCTACAAAAGGATCACAATATCATATCTACCATTAGAGGAAAAAACTCTGGATCCTCTTCTTCAAAGGTATAGATCTTCCTGATTTGAAAAAAATCACATCTTCTTGTTGAGCCCTCTATTACTATAATACTGCTTCTCTTGATTCACTAACAAATTCATAAGACTAGTGGGTTGCCTGTTTTTCCTTACTATCCGTTTCCTGCATAATTTCATGCGGTAGACTTCCACTTCTATAACTATACCTAAACAGCATTTTTGAGATTGCCAGTTATAGTCTTGATAAATTAAATGGCCTTTTCTCAGACTTCCATAGTGATTCTATTCACCTTCTTCCAAACAACACACCCCTTCCAAGACCTTACTGTATGCTAGTTTTCCTGCTACTGTCTGGACTTTCTCAGTCTACACCACTGGCACTTCTGATGGCTTTACAATAGGTATTCCTCAAAGCTGAATGTTCAGCACTTGTTTTTGGTTCTATTCTCTTTGATTAGTTAATCGTGACTTCAGTTATACCATTTCATTCTTTTATTCATTCATTTTATTCATTCATTCATTTTGAACATCTGCTATGTGCCACATGGCATTCATTGTTCTTGTAGCTAGGAATATAGCAGGCAACAAGACAGCTCTCGCTGTCATGGGAAATTATAACTAATCTGGTAAGACGTAAATTCAATAAGTAGTTAGTTATAAGTATGATGAAATGCCAAGGAAGGAATCCAGACTACTTTTAAATGTTCACTTCCAGCCTATAACTAGTAACCTGGATTCTAATTTGGAGGCTTATTCTTTCTATAGGAGTTCCAAACAACTTTTTAATGTTTTCTTCTTTTTCTGTCCCCTGTACTACTTATTTCAATAGTACAAGGTGTCAGGAAAGCAGTCTTTTTAAGGTTATACAAAGCATTGAGTATCTGAAATCCTCCCCAAAGTTTTTAGCTTAAAAAAAAAATAAACAAAACCTTTATTAAAATGGCATTTTAGGTAGTATGATATGGTTTTTAATTTTGTTTTTGGTAGTGGCAGATAAGGAGCTCATTACCTCATATCTAGACCAAAGACATCTAAAGTGAAGGTATATATACCTCATGTGATATGCAAGATGATCCACTGGGATATAGAAAGAAATATTAGAATTTTATATTTATTTTTATCTAATATAAAAATTTTTTCTTTCATTAATTAAAAAAATGTAGAATGACACTGATATCCTCACCTTGGATTTATTAGATAGACACATGTCTCAGACAGTAGATGAGGTATCCTAAGGGAAGAGTGAGAATTCTACAACTTGGAAGAGTTGAAAGTACTTTCCTTTATTTCCATTTCTCTTACTGGATTGAGTCCCTTAAGAATAGTGGCCGTGTCTTATTCATTTTTGTATTTTAATGGCCTATATTCTTGGCAACTTTAGTGGATTCTCAAATAATTTTTTAAATGGATAAAGTAATCAAGGCAAGAGTATACAGTTCTTTTGTGACCCTCCTCCCCAACCTAAATTTCCAACTGCAGATTCAATATTTCTAGTGCTGAGCCTGTTGTTTGTTTTCCTGAAAGTTGCTTTTCTTCGATTTCCTATAATAGTAAATTGAAATATATGCACTATGGTACCTAAGCTAGAAATCTGAGTCCCCTTTAATGATTTCATCATATTCCCCAGGTCTGATTGATTAAGTCCTGGGATTTTTTTTTTCTCAGAACTCTTTTTCATCTTCTCTTTTCTTCTTTTAAATTGAGGTGTAATTGACATGTGACATTATATTAGTTTCAAGTGTACAACATAACGAGTTACCATTTGTGTACATTGTGAAATGAGCACCGTAATAAGTCTAGTTAACATCCCTCACCTTAATGTAGTTACAAAAAAAATTTTTTTCTTATGATGAGAACTTTTAAGATCTGTCCTCTTAGCAACTTTCAAACATGCAGTACAGTATTACTAACTATAGTCACAATGCTGTACACTACACTCCCATGGCTTTTTTATAAATAGAAGTTTATATTTTTTGACCCCTTTCACCCATTTCTCCTATCCTACCCCCGACATCCAACTGTGGCAACCACCAATAAGTTCTCTGTATCTATGAGTTTAGCTTTTTTATTTTTGTTTTGTTTTTAGATTCCACATATAAATGATATTATGTAGTATCGTAGTATTTGTTTTTCTCTGCTGACTTATTTCACTTAGGATAATGACTAAAGATCCATGGGTGTTGCAGATGGCAAGATTTCATTCTTTTTATGGTTGAATAATATTCCATTGCGTGTATGTATTCGTGTGTGTGTGTGTGTGTGTGTGTGTGTGAGAGAGAGAGAGAGAGAGAGAGAGAGAGAGAGAGTGTGTGTGTGTGTGTGTGTATTTTATGTGTTCATCCATTAATGGACTCTTAGGTTGTTTCCATATCTTGGTTGTTGTAAATAATGCTGCAATAGACATGGGGATGTATATATCTTTTCGAATTAGTGTTTTTTTTTTCTTCAGAGGTGGAATTACTGGATCATATGGTAGTTCCATTTTGAATTTTTTGAGGGACTTCCATTCTGTTTTCCATAGTAGCTATACCAATTTACAGTCCTACCAACAGTGTACAAAGGTTCTCCTTTCTCCATATTCTAACCAACACTTGTTAATTCTTGTCTTTTTGATAATAGCTGTTCTAATAGGTGTGAGGGATAGCTCATTGTGGTTTTAATTTTCATTTCCCTGATGACTAGTGATGTTGGACATCTTTTCATATACATTTGGTTATCTGTATGTCTTCTCTGGGCAAAATGTCTATTCAGATTTCTGCCCGTTTTTAAAAATTGGATTATTTATTACTTTTTATTACTTGTATTACTTGTATGAGTTCTTTAAATATTTTGGATATTAACCCCTTATTAGATATATGGTTTGCAAATATTTTCTTTTATTTAGTAGGTTAACTTTTCATTTTGTGATGGTTTCCTTTGTAATGCAGAAGCGTTTTAGTTTGATGTAGTCCTACTTTTTATTTTTGCTTTTGTTGCTTTTGCTTGTGGTGTCAGATTCAAAAAAGCAACACCAAGATCTGTGTCAGAGACTTTACCACCTATGTTTTCTTATAGGAGTTTTATGGTTTGAGGTCTTACATTCAAGTCTTGAATTCATTTTGAGTTAATATCTGTGCATGGCGTAAGATAGCGGTCCAGATTCGTTATTTTGCATGTGGCTGTCCAATTTTCCCAACACCATTTATTGTAGAAACTTTCCTTTCTCCACTGCATAGTCTTGGCTCCTCTGTCATAAATTAATTGACCATATATGCTTGGGTTTATTTCTAAGCTCTCAGTTCCATTCCATTGATTTAAGTGTGTGTTTTTATGCCAATACCATACTGTTTTGATTACTATAGCTTTGTAATATAGTTTGAAATCAGGGAGTGTGATGCTTCCAGCTTTGTTCTTTCTCAAGATTGCTTTTGCTATTTGGGGTCTTTTGTGGTTTCATACAAATTTTAGCATTGTTTGCTCTATTTCTGTGAAAAATGTCATTAGAATTTTGACAGAAATCGCATTGAATCTGTGTTTGCTTTGGGTAGTATAGATATTTTAACAATATTGATTCTTTCAACCCATGAGCATGGAATATCTTTCTATTTATCTGTGTGTTCAGTTTCTTTCATTAATGTTTTA